GGTCAGACTAAAAGCAGATTAACCCTAACATCACCCATAAACATTTCTTGTTTTGCTTAGTAAAAAGTAAAATATTTATTTGCATTTATATTTCCTCTCTAATACATGAAAATGTCAAACAAAGTTGAAAGGATCAATACTCATGCCTGTTGCCTACTCCTGCTGTTCACACTATGTGGATTTCCCTTGTTAATCTTATCCTTGTTTTCTTCAGTTGTCACTCTGTTTTGTTTTCATGTAATTTTTGTAACAGAGATCCCAGACCAATCATAATGTGAGGTTTATGAGTAATCTTAATTACAGTCTGATACTCACTTTATCTCATTTCTTTTAAAAAGAGAAAAAATTGTTCCAGACACAGTCTCCCTGTGGCCTCAAGGTGACTTTAAACTTGATAACCTGCTTCTGTCTCTTGAGTACTGGGTGTGTTCCCCCATGCATGTTGTTTTGTTGTGCGCAAATGTGTGACTTTCAGGTGATCATAAGGTTGAAAATGGACCATAATATTCTCTATCCTGTATAAAGAATAAGAACTAACCAAAATTTTAAAAAATGTTATTGTCCAATTTGATCCTGAGTCAATTTGACCTTTTAAATTCTTGAATACATTTTTTCTGTTTTCTTTGTAAGGTTAGTATTTGATACCCACATTTAAAGCCCTTTTTATAAATTCATCATTATAAATTGTTATTTGGAAGACACATGGGATTATTGCCTCTCTTAAAACAGTGAGAGGTGAAAAGCTGGAAGCCCTGTAGAGTATGTGGGCTTGAGAAGTTTTAGAATCTTGCTCTCTTCCCTTTATTTCATGATTATTTACCATGTCTGTAGATGGATTATGGCTGCAGGGTCATTCAAAAGTGACTAAAGTAAAGGTAGTAGGAGTGGCCCCTGAAAGGAAGTCTTAACAGGTGTAAACTGTAAATGGCTTTCCTATGCTGTGGACTGAGCACATATTTAATAGAGCCAGGAGTAATTGTCAAACTGTCAGGAAACAAATGTGTAATTGCTGTTGCAAAAGAATGTCCTGCCTGTTCACTGTTCTTTTTTAGACCTGCTTGGCTGATGGTGACCTTCAAAAGTGCTTGCCACACAGGTGCAGTGTTCTTCAGCTTTTGGAAAAATTCCCTCGTCTCTCTCCCTCCCTTTTACATATAATCTCACTAGTGTTAAAGATGGGATTCTGCAAATTTGAGTATCTATATAAGAAGATACAACTGAGATCATTGTTTAGGTGGTTAATGTTGCTGCTGAGATGAATGTTTCCTGGGACTCAGAACTAGTGTAAGGTTGTAGTTGCAGAGCTGTAAGTGGCTGCCCTGAGAGTAGCTCTGCAGAGTAAACTGAGAGGACTTCTCTTTGTTCTTATGTCCTCCAACTAAGCATGCTAACTGGCATAGCGCAGGGACTTGTTGGGAATATCTTACATCCAAAGATAAGGCTGAATGGTGTGTCAGTATTGAATCCAGGAGTTACAGCTTTTAAAAACATGGTAAACGCGAGGGGGCTGTGATTGGTTAGGGTGGTTCTCTGATCATATAGCTTCTTTCCGTTACAGTCAAGCCCAGCTGTTTCCATCCAAAGAACTTAGACCTACCTGGTTTTATACCTTTTCAGCATTTACTTGTTTATTGTCTCTCTGAATCTCTTTAGAACGGCAGGGGTCATAGGTGGCTCCACCTGTCAATTTGACACAAACCTAGACATACCTGGGAAGAGAGTCTCAATGAAGGGATTGCCTCTATCCGATTATCTTGTGGGCATGTCAGTTGCTTGATTGCCTACTGGTGGGGTGCCATCCTTGGGTAGGTGGACCTGGACTGTGTATAGAAAGGGAGTTTGTGTAAGCCAGTAGGAGCATTCCTTCATGATCTCTGCTTCAGGTCCTGCCTCCAGATTCCTGTATAGAGCTCCTGTCCCTAGCCTCCTAAATAATAAAAGCCACATAAACCCTCTCCTTCAAGCATGTAAGCCACAAAAACCCTCTACTCCAAGTTGCTTTTTGTCAGTGTGTTAACTAGGACAAGTATATTGATTTATTCAGTGCCCATAATTACATTGTCTAGCATGTAATACTCAAAGTACTGGTCTCTTTACTGGCACTTAGTGACCCACATATGGAGTCCTTTTGAAAGGTCATTAGTTTATTTGGTTAAGAATAGTAAAGACTCTGTAGTATACCAACTCAGAGGAATTCATAGTGGTTGATAAATGTTCAGCGTTCAGCTAAAAACTGGAAAAAGTTTACATTTAATGAAAGGTTTCACAAAACTAATAATATTTTTTGAAATTGCTAACAGAAGTTTGGAGACGAAAAATAAAAATGTCTTGTTAAATTTATAAGCTAAAATTTAGTCCTTTGAGGCAAAATGTAATACGAAAACCTTTGAAAATTTTTGAGGGTCAAATTAAACATTTTAGGAATTTGGTTTGTAGTTTAAAGAAAAGATAAGTCCAAGTATTAAGGATATGTACAAGAAGAGTTTGGTGTGTCTGAAGTTTGAAATAACCTGGACAAAGAAGTAAAGAGGAAATGGCCAGACCAGGAGAACTTAAGAAAAAGTGGTGATGTGCAACTGTTTCAAAGCATAAAATAGGAGACTAAGTTTGGAGCATGGCTTCACAGTGGCTGTGCCCTTGGGATGGAAGCACGAATCTGAGAGAGCTTGACACTGTCACTGTTGGGGTACAATTGAGAACTGCAGTCCATTCGGTTCCCCTAGAGAAGAGACAGCTAATACAGCAATAGAGTTCTGCTGCCAGACACTTTTGCAATATAGTCTTGTTTACAGTTGCCAGATTTCTCCATATTGTTAGATAGGTCAGCATTGATAAGAATATTTGTGAGTTTTTAAACATGATAATTCTTTTTCTTCTTTAAAGACTAGACAGTTCCAATGAGGTGTATTGGTGTTTTAAAAATACTGAAATGGTTTGAGGGAAGACAAATGTGTGAACATGCTTCTTTCATAGATTTGAAGACTGTCTTACTGTTTAAGAACTGCTGTGCATGGATAGATTCCTTTTAAAACTTAACCATAGGCTATATTTTACTCTACTCTTAATTCAGTTTAGTATGTGTTAGTTGTTGGCATAAAAAATGTTTTTTTACTTAAGGGCAGAAAGAATCCCCCTGACTTTTTATATGTGTCAATTCTCAGTTTTAGTCTTGAAGCACAAATCTAGGATACAAAAGACAGCAGTAGTTTTCAACAGACTGTTTTTCTCCGGAGCCCTCTTTTACTCCATCCTCATCTTCCTAGTCCTTGTGATACCTCCCGAAGCTTCCCTCGTAATTTAACACCAGTGCTTTCACAGCACACAGTAACATGCGTACACACCTAAGTGGATTTAGCTTAGACAACAGGACGGCTTTCCAGTTAAACTGTGCGGCTCCACTCATACAATGTGACCAACGCCTGGTTTCAGGTGAGAAGAGCTCACGACAGTCTGGTGACAGACCACTCCTGATGTACATACAGTTCTGCTGTCACAGGCACACTTGAACTGGCTTCCCATTTGATGGTGACAAAAAACACTTTCATGTCAAGTGGAAAAAAGTGCTATATCAGGGCATTGTTCATAGACTTGAAAACTTGCCTTTTCAGGATTGCATTTTTTTTAACACAAAAACTTATTTTTTAGTATTTCTTAACCAATGTATTTTAAGATTGATAAAACATTTTTGGTAGTATATTGAGCTTTATATAGCTTTATTTCAAAGTGTTCAGATTTAACATTAAAAATTAATGCTACTGAAAAGTAGTTTTACAACCCATGTGTTTTGGTTTTTTAATTTAATATTTAAGATTTTACTTTTTTCCTATTCCTGTTTTGAGAACTTCTGATTTTCTGTCTTTCAAAAATACTCCTTTCCCAGTGCTGATCTCTTTTTGTTGTATAGAGAAAGGTTGTTCTAAAGGACCATTTGGAAAATGTGACAACAGCATGTACTTTTCCCCATTGCTTTTTTATTGTACCTTGTCAAGATGGTCTTGGACATGAACTTTCTTAGAATCACGCAGTTCCTGGTTCCTATGGGACTTCCTGTTTTCTCAAATAAAAATAGAAAAGGATCTCAGAAAGGAAATCTGGTCAGTGTGAACTATTTTATGAGATCAGTTAGACACAGTTGTAACCTGGATTATATAGTATATAATCTGAATAAAAAGTGTGAAAGTCTTCAAGTGTCTGTGAACTTTGAATATTTTTGTATATAATAAAATAGGTGATATAGGAAGAGGTTCTGAGTAATTGTGAGAGATATATATTTAGCATTGTAATCTGGCATTGTATTTTGGGGAGGTTTTAGATAGAGGAAAATTACATGGAAAATACTGTAAATTCCCATTGTAATATTTGATTGTCAAAATCTGACATCCAATTGTCAGCTGCTTTGATCTGTATATTTTCTCCTTGCCATTTTTCTAGATGTTAGCCAAAAGTCAGAAGGTTTTTGTTTGCTTTCTTTTTGGTAGATACTAGAAGTTTGATCCTAAAAGAATTATTTAGTTTTAAAGCAACAAGTTAAGGTAGAAACATGATATAGTTACTAATAATAAGATGGATAGTATGTATTGAGAACCTAGTGAGTGACAGCTACGACTGTGGTAGGCATCTTACAGGGATTGTCGTTCAGTCCTTGCAGCAGCTGTGTAAGGTATGTGCCATTTCACCCCTCCTTAAAGGGAAGGTTGTAGAGTGACCAAGTCACTAAGTTAGGAGGAGGTATTACTAAATAACCAGTAGGGAGATTTGATTTATTGACTCATGGCACCAGAACCCTGGCTTTCAGTTGTGATGAATTTAAAGTGAGAATGGCTAGCATGGTTAGTCTTATTACTTTCCCAAGTTTCCAAGTCCATTTTATTTACATTTTGTTTTCATATGTGTATTGGTTTAACAGTAGTATATGCTGGCTTTTCAGGGTACTTGTTGAGGAAGATTTAAATTCTTGAGTAATGCTAATAGTTCTCTTTTTTCTTTCTTTTCCTTGATAGTAAAAAACCCCTTTGATGAAACATTTGGAAAAATACAAGTAAGTAAAAAATCATAATGCTTATAATTTATATCATGCTTTAAGTGATGAAAAGATTAAAGTGACTATAAATTAAGAAAAGTACCTTTAAGTCCATTTTAGTTAGAGGCATTATGTTTTCTCATGCTGGGTATTCCTGCCTATAATTTAACTAAGTCTGACCTAGGGCTCCTTCAAAAACTGTTTTCGTGTTTATTACTTTAATAATAGAGACATCTGCCCCATCACAGGGAGTGGCATGCCAGCCCTCCTGATCTGGTTCTTATACTTACAAGTATGCCTTGTTGTTCCAAGTTACCTATGCCTTACTTAGCAGCTCTTTTCTTTGTTCTGTTGGTGTGCTGACCATCAGGGAAGCAAAGGTTTAAGAAGGAAGCAGCAGGGCTCTACAGATTCTTCCTCAAAGGGGGTGTAATAATCTTAACCAAAATGCTTGCCATATCATAGACACTGGGGATGCTTAGATACTTAAAGCTGATGTGTATATTATAGTACATAATTCTTTGTTAATTTTTCATTATAGGAACTGACCATTACATATGTCTGTATTGAAAACTATTTGTTTTACTCAAGAGCACGTAATAAAGTACAGACAGACCTGTAGAATATTATTTCAGATTGTTAGGAGTGGAACTTTGGAATATTCTCTTCAGTATATTTCATAGTGAAGACATTCGTTTGCAGTGAATTTGACAACTGAGTCTTTAAAATGTGACAGCCTCATAATTGACAGTGGACTCATAAGGAGCCTTGGAGGTACAAAACTGTTTTCTTTAGCAGTTTGTGACATCATAGATTCAGTTTAAGAATCATGGGATTCAGCACCAGCTTTTACTTTTTGGTGTTTGATTTTGGAGTTTGATTATTGTATGTTTCCCTTCCTTCCATTCTTCCTTTTTTAAAAATAGAGTCTGTTATGTAGTCCAACCTGCATAGCCTTAGATTTGCTATTCTCCTATCTCAGTCTCCTTGTGCTGGGATTACAGACATAAGTCACTGTACTCTGCACTTTGGGAGAAGATGGAAATTGCCTTGATTCGTAATGACATAAAGATGGAGTCAATCAAAGAGTGATGTGGCAAAAAGCTTAGAACTAGGCAGTCACCTGAAGGGATGAGTACTTTGTCATCATGAGACATAATCTGAAGACATGGGATGGGTTTTGGAGCCTTTTATGAATTTGCTTCTTCCTGCTGTCTCAAATTTTAGTGCACTGACAAAACTATGTTCTCATTGTGTGCGAACTTGTTCTCTTTGTTTCCTGAACATGAATGTGGGGACAGAAGGATGAGTGTGGTTTTGTCTCTAGACCTGTGCATGTCATATTCTCTACCTTCTCACTAGGCCTGGACTTGCTCCATGGGCATATTCATCTAAATCCTGTTCTGTCAGGCACTCCAGAGAAAGGAAGTCATAAAGACATCCTGATAGTCGTGACCTTATCCAGCTTAGGGTTAGAATCTCTAACTTTTCCTCGTCACTGACACTGGCTCATCTTAGTTGCAGCTGTTCTTAGATTTGGGTATCATTGTTTAGACTACTTGATAGATTACCCAGACAGTGCCATGTTTACTCCAGATTATTCCTACCTTCTGCTCAGCAGTATTTCAGTCATGCGTAGGCCTGGTCTACTTTTCTCCTAAATCTTCAGAATGAAGCCAGACTCTTTTTCTTTATACTAGGGTTCTATGGCTGTTAATTCTGGGCTACTTTTCCTTCAGTTTGCTCCTGTTTGTGTGAGGAATAGATCCAGTGCTTTCCTGCTTCCTGCTTCCTACTCTGTGCTGTCCCCTCTACCTGGAATGATGGGCAAGTCTTCTTCCTGTTCTGCCCAGCTCTAATGCTCCACGTTACACACATGGGCCTTTGTTTACCCCTCTCTGTTTGCATTGAACTTGGCAGCTGTAATGTGACACTGCATGGCAGCGGTGGTGTTCTTGAGAATAGGAAATACCTTGTTTGTTGTGTCTCACTATGCTCTGAGAAAGTAGTTCTTTACTCCTTAACTTCATTGAATGTTCCACATCAATGGTTGGTAACTGTATGGAACCATCTTGAGATCTAGGACAGGCTGTATTTCAGTGTAGCAATGTACATTTCTTTAGTCTTAATGTGATTTTAAGTCAGGCTAAAACAAACTATGGAGAATGGCTCACCAGCTAACAGCGCTTGCCAGTAAGCATACCAACCTGAGTTTGAACATTCATGGTGGAAGGAGGGAAGCAATTCCTAATAATTGTTCTCTGATATACAAGGGTTATGCCCCTGTGTGTGCAACCCACATATATGTACACAAATTAAATCAATCACTGAAACACATAATGTAACCTCGATGGAAGAAAGACGAGAACAGTATATATATGAGCATACATTATATACATTATACATTATATACAATGTGGACTTGGAAGGGTTACTTTGATGACTTGGGGGTTATTATGTATGAGATCCTTTTCTGTAATTTCTTCTTTCTAAGATGTTTTGAGAGAGAGAGAGAGAGAGAGAGAGAGAGAGAGAGACAGACAGACAGACAGACAGACAGACAGAGAGAGAGTGAGTGAGTGTGTGTGTGTGTGTGTGTGTGTGTGTGTGTGTGTATGTATGGGGTATGTGCACATACGTGCTGGTGCCTGCAAAGGTCAGCAGCTGCCTGCCAAGGTCAGCAGCGTCAATTCCTGGGGAACTGGATTTACAAAAGCTTGTGAGCCCTCTGGAAGAGAAACTTAATCACTGAGCCACCTCTCCAGCTTTCTGGGGGCAACTTAATAGTCCTCAAGAAAGTAAAATACTTAACAGTGATCATTTATGCTAAGGTTCCTTAAAATACAGTAGCTATTGTTTCCATATGGATTTGTTTTTCAGATATATGACTTTAACCATTTTAGCTTGATTTCCTCTTTTAAATAATTATAGACATTTTTCTTTAAATTGGTATTTCATAATAACTTTTTTTTAATTTTAGGAAAGTGAAAGAAATCTTATGATGAGCACATTATACAAACTTCATGATCGATTGGCCCAGCTTGCAGGTATTATTTTACCTTTCATTGTCTCCCAAACCATGTCTAAGGTTACCTGGTATGTGTGCTTGTTGTGTCGGTAGAAGTAGTCTTTCCTAAGTACAGATTTACATTTATTCAATAGTTTTCTTTAGAGATTTTTAAAAGAAATTTATACAGATGTATGTAAGGTTTTTTTCTGTTTGCTATATGTTAGATATAATTTATATATATTGTGTAAATAGAAAATTCTGAATTAATTAAAATCTTGGATTAGATAGAGGTATAGATTTTCTATTGGTGATTTTGCATTGTTACTCTGTAGTTAAAGTAAATGTAGTATTCTATTTTTTAATTAATTCTTCTCATATTCTACTCTTCCTGGTCTATCAGAGTGCTCAGGTATCAACACATCTGCAGTCTGAATTTAATGAAATTATATTTTAAATGCATTCTTACTAAGTTTGATATTTGCAAGCAGTATCTGCAAAACTACTGTAGCATATATGTTTACCCAATTCAGTATATAAGTTATTAATATTTGTGTATAATCTGAAAGAAGTGGCTTTGGATTCCTTCTTATAAGTGTACAGGAAACATACTGCAGGAGCAGACTGCCATATGCAAGTGAGGTCTTTGGCAGAAGTCTAGGAATCAGACATGGTGACTCCTCTGGTTAGATGGAAGTACTTAGGATCCTGGCATTTGTTTCCCATGCCTTTTCCATCTTGCTCTTTGATCCATAGTTTTGCTCAGTTTTTTAGGTTTATAATTCTGTGTACATTATTAAATGCTTTCTCTGTGCTGATTGATTTGCTGTATTCATATACCATAGCTAGTGACATTCATTTGGTATGCTAGCACCTGGGAGTAGGTTGAATATATTCCATGGCTAAGAAATCCTAATGTTGCTACCTTAAGCCTGTGTGGCTCTCAATAGCAACATTATGAAGTGCAGCCTGCGGTTTCCTAGATCAGCACAGAGAGTTGCTCTTTAAGATGGAGCTTTCCTTCCCAGAGTGTGCATTGGCAAGTTTTTCCTATAAAGTGCCCATAGTAAATACTTCAGGCTTTGTGGACTAGACTGCCTCTCTCACTACTATTTTATTTCACTATTATAGCATGCAAATAACCATAAATAGTACATTAATCAATTAGCTTGACCCTACTCCAGTGAAACTTCATTTATAAATAGCAACAGCAGGCCACATTTGGCCTTGGCTGTCTTTGCTGACTCCTGTTCTGGATCTGTGGAATCTGAGTCTTTGAGGAAACATGATAAAGCTTGAAGATCTGTTTATCCTTGATCTAACTCCCACCATTACAGCCTGGCTCCTTGAGCAAACTAAGAAGTAAGAATACTTTCAGGAGAAAGGTGTGTTATTACAGTTTTATGTTGTTTGTTTTGTTTTGAGACAGGGTTTCTCTGTGTAGCCCTGACTGTCCTAGAATTCTCTCTGTAGTAGACCAGGCTGACCTGGAACTCAACAGAGATTCACGTACTGCTGCTCTGAGTGCTGAGATTAAAGGTGTGTGTCCCCCACACCTGGCTTATATGTTTAGGTTGAAGAAGGTATTTTTAAACTACTTGAAAATAATAGGAGAGCAGAAACTTAACACTGAATTTTAATATGAAGAAAAAAATCTCTAATAACCACATGTAGTCTAGAAAAAAGCTTTGAATTTTCTTTAGTTATATGAAAGAAGGAAGTAATTGTCTCTAACTTTTATAGCATACCCCTTTATAAAAACTAAGTCTAAGTCGTAAGTTCATAGGTAGAAATTTTAACCTCGTTTCACTGTTGATCTGTGTTAAACAATTTTTAGGGTTTGCATTAGATACCGGAACTGTTTCTAGAAAACATATGTAACTTCATCAATCTTTACTGATTATTACTATATATATAATTGTGTCATTTGTAAAACATTTTCAATTCTATTTTTTTCTGTTTAATATTGTATTTATTTCAAATTAATATGCTAATGTTTTCAGGAGATCATGAGTGTGGCAGTTCCAGTCAAAGGATGCTCTCTGTCCAAGAAGCAGCTTCGTTTTTAAAGGTAAGCAGTGACATCAGAATTTTAGCCCTAGTCTTTTTTTTTTTTTTCTTGGTTTTTATGAGACAGGGTTTCTCTGTATTGTTTTGGAGGCTATCGGTCCAGCCCGGCCTCGAACTCATAGAGATCCGCCTGCCTCTGCCTCCCGAGTGCTGGGATTAAAGGCGTGCGCCACCACCGCCCGGCTTAGCCCTAGTCTTACAGCTTATATGCATCCATACCACTGTCAAAAGTAGGAAGCATTTGGCTACTTTAATTGTACTGCTTAAGGCACAGTTTTGACATCTTCTTTTATAACTCATCCATACCTGCGTCAGTCCTTCCTTATCCCTGAGCTTAGCCTCTGTCTCTTCTTGTTACTCTACCTGAATGGTTCTCAACCTTCCCAACGCTGTGACCCTTTGATACAGTGCCTCATGTTGTGGGGACCCCAGCTATAAAATTATTTTCATAACTGTAATTTTGATAATGTTATGAATGTAAATATCTGTTTTCTGATAGTCTTTGGGGGTCGTGATCCACGGATTGAGAGCCACCGATCTACTCACTTGTACATTTGTTTATATAAATAGGTGTGTTATTGTCTAGGTTCCTGGTAAGAGAGAAGAACATGGAGTTTTTATTTCTGAGATTGTAGACATAAAGCTGATTGAAGTGTGTTTATATCTAAGGATATGAAGCTAATTGTTTTTCTAGTTCTATGGATTTAACAAAACACTGTCTGCATGGTTGTTTTGCAGGTGAATAAGTGCATAAAATGGATTTAATACTAGAAGTGTGATTATTGTAAACCTCTAAAGCCTCTATTCTGAATTCCTATTCTAATTGTAGAAGTTCATTGAATTGTATAGGCTTTGTGCGTGGTTAATTTTGGTATGATGTTTTTATTTATTTGCAAGGGTTTTTTTTCTTTAATAATGGAGTTTATAAAATTACAAAAAGCACAGTCTTGCCATTTAGTGTCATGTAAGCAAGTGTAATAAAAGAAAGTGGAAGTTGTTAGTGTTTTTGTTTTAGAGTACTGTGTATAAGGAAATGCACACAAATGTGTAAAGAGCACGGATACTAGCTAGACCCTGTGACTCACGCCTGTGCTCACTGCTTGGTAGGCTGGAGCAGGGGAACTGCTTGGAACCCAGGTGTTCAGGACAGCCTGGGCAGCTTAGTGAGCCCTTGTCTTAAGAGAACACAAAAGGTAAGAAGGAAATTTAGATAAAAGTAGGGCAGGTGGGGAGCATGCAGGAAAGCAAGCTAGTAGCTAGTCATTTGTAACCTGCTCTAGTCTAATTTAATGTCAGGGGGCTAAGAAGACTTGGGAGTTTTTATGAGCTGCTACAGGTTATCCCTGGAACTATTTGAAAAATACTAAATGGTTATAGATGCAAAATGCCACGCTTTTGTGACAGGGAAAATGGAATTTAAAAATCATACTGGAAAGTTCTGTGACAGTTTAGTTCCATGCAGAGAACCCCATAAAGATATGAATGCTTGCAAATTGAAATGTGATGCAGCCAGCCTGTACATGGCTGTGTGGGTTCGATGGGAGTAAGTGTCATTTCTCCTACTCTACCCTTCAAATATTAGGTTTTTTTTTAAAGTAGCATGAATTCTTTCCTATTATTATTTTAAATGTATGTGCGATACAGTATGGTAACTATATGCACATAGTTATATATCCAATCTTTAGGATGTTACATTTTATATGACTGAAACCCTTATGTATTTTATTCTTTTTAAGGCTATTGTAAACAAAGTTGAGATTGTTTGCTGTTACTATATAGAAACAGTTGGTTTTTGTACCCTACAAGTTTGATGAATTCATTACTCTAAGACTTCAGGATATAAAATCTTTAGAGGATTTTTTTATGTAGACGATTATATCATTTGTGAAAATAGATTACTTTTTCCTGCTTTGGATTTTAAAATTTTCTTGGAAAAATTACTTGACTAGAATTTCTAGTGCTGTGTTGACCAGAAGTGGTGAGACTGACTGTTGCCTCCTTTTGATCTTAGAGAACAACTCTTAAGTTTTTCACTGTTGAGTAAGATTGTTAGTGTAGCTTTTTTATGTTGACCTCCGGTACATTGACATTAGTTCCTTTTACTCCTGGCCTTTTTTGCTCATTGTTGAAGGCATGTTGAGTTTTCTCATGCGTTTTCTGCATCTGTTGATTTAATCATATGACTTAAATATTTTCATTTTTTATTGAGAATACATTATGAGTATTATATAGCAATACATGAATACTGTATGTAATAAACAGGGTAATATAAGACCCAGATAATATTGTGGTTTTTAAATTTTTTTTATCTGTTAAGGGGTAATCTCATTGATATTTTTTGTGTTGGAACATCTTTGTATCAAAGGGAACTCATTTTCCGGTATTTCATTGAGGATATTTGTCTCTCTGTTCATCAATATTAGTCTGACTTTTCATGTCCTATCTGTCTAACTTTGATAATAAAAATCAACATATAAAAATTAGTTTGAGGGCTTAGAAGATGTTTCAGTGGGTAGGACACTTGCCACCAAGCCTGATGACCTGAGTTCAATCCCTGGGACTCACATAGTAGGAGAGTCCTGTTACTGCCATATGTGAGCCATTGAATGTACATATTCATGCATACATATACACACACACAATGAATAAATATATACATGTTAGCATTTTTTAATTAAATAAGTTTGGAAATGTTTCTTTCTCTTCATTTTTTAAAGAATTTGAAGTTAGTATTAATTTTCTCTAAGTAATAAAATTAGAAATGAATTCTGCTTTCATACTTGTCTAAGACGACAGAAGTGCACATAAAGCAATCTGAGTCCTTTCAGATAGTCAATGGCTGAGGGAAGGAGAGTCTGTTTTCTTCAGGTACCAGCCCCCTGATTGGTTGCCCATGGCCATGTGGTTAGCTCTGAACCCATGTATTCCTGAGCAACACTAATTGGGTTCAGTAAATGACGCACATGTGTGCACACACACACACACGTTTTACAAGGGAAGGACATGAGTGTGAGGGGGATTTGTGGAGGGACAGGGGAAGAGTTGGAGAGGGGAGGGAGAGTAGGTATGATGAAAATATATTGCACTCATCTATGACATTCTCACAAAGGGAAAATCGGGGAAATTCTTGTGTCTGTCTGTTATGTAGTATTTAAGTTGTCTTCCTCTTCATTGATCTTTATCTGGGTGTTCTTTCCATCTTTGAAAGTTGGGTATAGTTGCCATCTCCTGTCAGCTAGTATGTTGTTGTTTCTCCCTCTAGTTCTGTCATTAAGTCCTTCATGTATGTGAGTTATGTAATGCATATATGTCAATATAATTGCTATGTTGTCTAGGTGGATTGAGCTGCTTGTCATCATATGATGTTCTGACTTGTCAAATGTGACAAGTTTTGATGTCAGTTTTGTTAAAATAGTTGCTCATGTTCCTTAGTTAGCCAGCCTGTGTGTATGCCCCTAAGAATAGAGTGGATTCTGTCACATAGAAGGTAGTTGGGGGCGTCAGTGTACTGATTAGGTTGCTTCTCTTTTCATTTGACCTGGCTTTTTTTCTGTTTCTAGTTTCTCTCTATATGGAAAACTTGTTCTCCTGTCATAAATTCTCTTTTGTAGTGAAAATGCTTTTTATTGTCCTCTATCTTTTATGTTATCAGTGCCATATTCTAGTCTTTTAGATTGTATACCTCAATATTTATAGCTCTTTACATTAACATTTCTACAGCTTTTAAGACATATATATTTTTTTAATTTGTATGCTGTAGTTTGAAGTGATTCATGTATGTATCACCATTACAGTGTTCTGGATGTTTTGTTTTGTGTATACCTTTATAAGTAAGTTTTACATTTATATGCTTTTATGTTGCTACTTAATCTAATATTAAAGATGCTTTTTGGCTTTTCTTGTAAGGCATTTTTAATAGTATTGAACTTTACAATGCTTCATATTTTTAGTTGTGAGCCTAGCCTTTAATGGCTGAGCTATCCTTCCAGCCCACTTTGTAACATTTTTATGGGAAATATTTAAGTCTCTTCTGCCCCCCAAATCTGCTGACGATTGGATAAGTTCTCTGATGCAATGGTAGCTTTTATCATCTTTAAATTTTTCTTTGCCTTTTCCCAATTTGATAATAATGGTGTGTGTACGTGAGGGTAAAAAAATGTGCTTGAGGAAGGCTAGCAGTCAACATTTTCTCCCTCCCTAGCTCTCCTCCTTACTTTGAAAAATGGGGTCTCTCATTGAATCTTGAGCTCACTGATTCACCTAAGCTTGTATGACCCGTGAGCTCCAGGGATCCACTGTTTTCTGCCTCCACAGGTCTGGGATTATGGGTGCATGCCACCACCACACCAGGCTTTTAACATGGATTCTGGGGATCAGAACTCAGGTCCTTGTACTTGTACAAGCACTTCACCATCTGAGCATCTCTCTGACTCTGATGAGGCTTCCTTTTGGTATGCTTGTATTCAGGCTGTTCAGACCTGTCTTTCCTCTGATTTGTTGGATTTCTTCAGAGTGTCTCTCACAGAGGTGAATAGCAAGATGAGCACTGTATTTGATCAGGCATTTCTGAAGCAAGGTATATCTGTATTTTGGAAGATTACCAGGACTTAAAATTGACTACTGCACTTGAAGGACTAAAGAAATGGGATAGTATTGGGGATCAGAATTTAACTTGAAGAGACAGGGATTAGCATGCAGGGCTTTTTCAACCTTTCTCTTTTCCACCACTTGATTGTGACTGTGCTTCAGCAGTGATACGAGGCTCAAAGAAGCGGGGAGATGCCTTAAGTTAGACTGGGCACAGGTTGGGTCTCAGCCAGACAGCCTTTCTTTTGGAGTTTCAGTTTTAGGTCTTCAAGTGTGAAATCATATGGTTGTCACACCATAGACTCAGTTTAGATAGCTGCCAGAAACACTCCCAGAATAAATAGAAACCACTAAAAAAGATTTTTTTTTGTAAAAAATAGTGTCAATTTCTAGGTGAGTGTTTTAGGTATTCCTTAAAATAGTGTTTTATTTTCTATACAAAATTACCGTCATAAATCACATGAAAAATAAAGAGAAAAAAGTTTTATATTCACTGTAGAATGGCAATCCCTGGTAGCACTTGGTGTATTCATATATAGTCATATATTTACTCTATGAATTGTATACATTTGCCTCTGTCATTAAAGACAGCTTAATTTTTTTAATTGTTGGCTAGTATTTTATTATGTAACTATTACATTGGGGCTTTTTCCCCTAGTCATTTTCTTAGGAAATAGTCCTAGAAAGGACATTACTTTTTCAAAGAGCATTAGCTTATAAAGTGCTTTTGATTCTGTTCATCTTACTGCTTAATTTAGAATGGCAGTTTAGTACAGCCTAGCCTCAGCTTATTTTATCTGTTTGGCAGTATAAGAACTCCTCCCCCAACCATGGTACCAAACAATGATTATAAAGTATATACAACAAGCTTTCTGTTTACAGAGAAATCTTGTATTTGTTCTGTGTGTTTATATTATGATTTCATCTGCACAACAGTTAACATTATTTGGATATAGGGGTAAGTGAACCAATCACTTCGCAGTGTCTTGGCTCAGCTCAAGGGTAGGAGAATGTAGAGCTCCCACAAATGCACACTGGCTATCCTGGGTCCTAGTGCATTGTTGGTAGTCATGACGAGTAACTCTCAATATGATACTTCTGTTTTGTTCAGTTTAATTCATTACATTTTATTACCATTTTCTTTACTCTTGTTTTCTTCAAAGGGAGTTTTAATGAACTTATAATGAATGTATTCTATCTTACCTACTGCTTGTATTGAGCCTTTCCATAAATTGGTAGTGAAAGCTGGCTTACATTTGTGGAAAGTGAAGAGGTCCCTCTGGTGGAACGCTTAGGAAACACATGCTTTGTATTTCATTGGAAGTTTCTTGATGATTTTCCTGTTGGGTAATGTGATGAGTGTCAGTTTCTAAGTTGCTTTCAAAACCTGATTAACTTTTGACACAATAAGCAATATTTAAGATTTGTGAAGCACATAATAGGAAAGCAAATAACTGCAAGTGTACCCAGTTATGGCCAGATGAGACCTGTATAGTTTAGCTTGGTACCTTGCGCTGTTGGTGAAGTTTTATGTGGAAAGTAAAGTATTCTCAAGAGGTCAGGGATGGGGATATTGCTTTCAGCAGTGACTACCTCTTTTGATCAGTGATGCTTCTGGAAAGTGTTTGATATTCTGGCTTTCTACATTTCTACACATCCCACTTAAGTTTGGTCTTATTTTTATCTTGCTGCCTTTCTTTAGTTCTCATTATGTAAAATTAAATCTTCTAATAGAAATTTGGTAAAAAGAAAAAAGTACTCTAAAAAGTGGGACTTTTGTAATTGGTTTTTATCAAGTACTCAGTTTCCTTTGGTGCTGTGTGCTGCTCTCGGTTTCACAGTGATAATAAGGTAGGTGGCATGAAGCCTACTTTATGGAAAAACTAACGCTTAGAGGGTTAGTAACTGGGTCATTCAGCTAGAATATGGTCAGATTGGGAGTAGGAGTCAAATCTGCCCTCCTTCTTATGCCATTCCACTTCTTTGATGGCCCAACTAAATCTGTAACCCTTTAGTTGTAAACAAACGACGCTTTAAGCTATGAACACTCTATAAAGAAGTAATTAAAAGTGGTACATCTCTAGGTAATATATATTCTTCTCACTGTGTGTGTGTGTGTGTGTGTGTGTGTGTGTATGTATGTATGTATGTATGTATGTATGTATGTATGTATACATATACATATATATGAACTAAGATCTAGTCCCAGACCTGCTTGGTACAAAAATCAACCCTGTCTTGAAAAGTAAAAAACAAAACCAGAAATCAAGTTTCCATTAGCCAATGGTTAAATAACTCCCCCCTTTTTTTTTTTTGAGGCAGGGTCTCACTGTGTAGCCCTGGCTGGCCTGAAACTTGCTAGACCAGGCTGGTTTCCAAGTCACAGAGAAATACCTGCCTTTCCCTCCTGAGTGCTGGGGTTAAAGAGAATCACCATCATGCCTGGCCTAGTGTTATTTCTTGGTGTATAGTATAAATCATCTCAAAAGTAAACAATATTCTCTAAATTAAAGGTACATAGCTATTCTTACCTTCCAGTCCTTTTTTATGAACTGTCCACATTGGGTTTCTAATTCTTAGTTGTATTACTTTAATATATGGTATGTATGCATGTGTGCTTACACACTCCAACTTTTCTAGATTTCCAGATGTACTTGATTTTCACAATAACTGCCGACAATGTATGCCTTGAAACCATTGTCAGATGCATCAACGTTAAGTTTCAGAGTAGAAAAGCAATTCTAGTTTGGTGAGGTGGTGACCCCTGTGATCCAGGGGTTGGGGTTAGGGTTAGCTTGCTAGGCCTATGTAGCTAGACCATCTCAGAAATAAAACAGTACTGTTTCATGTAAAAGATTCAGCTTATTACATAAAGAGTAAGAATGAAAGATACCCTTTCTATAAAGCAAATTCAAGCAGATGGCCTATGTGTTACCTTTATTAGCTTTAAAATCCTAGCAACAGTTTTGTGTAAGTCATGATACCCAGCAGAGTTAGCTGTGCTTTGTACATACAGTTTGGTGTGTTTGCACATTGAGTATGCTAAAGCAAGTTTCCCAGTGAATTAGAAAGTACAAGTATGACCCAATGAAAACAATTCCAGTGTCATTGAAGAATCCATTGGTATATTAATTCAACAGACATGTCTTAAAAAAATAAAAAAATCCAAGTCTCAGTAATTTGCCATTTATTTGAAAATACTGTTCCATTTATGAACAGTAAAATCATTATCACAATGATATTTGAAAACAGACTTAACAAATAACTGAACCCTGTAAATAGAAAGCAACCAGAAAGAAAGCATAGCAGACATCATGTTAGTGGTTAGATTGGAGTCATGAAAAGATGATTTCCCCCTTTTTGGTACTGAGTTTCATTATTTTGTTTATATGGTTAAGATAAAAACAGAGCATGTTCTTTATGTGACCGTTTACATAGGACTTTTGACAATGGTTCTCTATTTTTCTTGTTAGGATTTAGACCCTGCGTATGAAGATGTATTTAATACTTCATTGCTGTGGATTTTAAAAAATGGGAAAGATGTTGGAATAAGGTACAGAATTTGCTTTACACTTTGATGATTTTATATTGTAAGAAGTATTTTTTATAAGTTTTAATCGCTACCTTAATTATTTTTAAATAGGTGTATTGGTTATGGGCCTGAGGAAGACCTGGCAAATATAACTGATGTGCAGTTTTTACAGTCCACCAAACCCCAGATGTCTTTCTGGTGTCGTTTCCGACGTGCTTTCATTACTGTAGCCCATAGGCTGTTGTTGTTGTGCTTAGGTAAGCTATTAGTATTAAAAGTGGTTCCACTGCTTGCATGTCACTCAGTGTCAGTCAGGAACTTTCTCCCTTCTGTAGAAGTCCTCACTAAATAATTAGTGTACTTTTGTGTAACTGTGACCAAATACCTGACAAAAAAATGACTTATGCAAGAAGGATGGAGAATGTCAGTCCATTGTGGAAGGAGGGTTGGCAGAGCAGATAGCATGGCGACCAGGAAGCAGAGAAAGTGGCTGAGACAAGTATCCCTAATGACCTGCCACCAGTGACTTATTCCTTCTAGCTAGAGTCCACCTCTTAAAGGGTTGTCAGCGGGTGACCTAGCCTCTGTGAGGAGACATTTTCATGTTCAGTGATGACAGAAAAGATTGGTTATTTGTGGCAACTATGGACCTAGGGGCTTAAAGAATAGATATAAATTTAAACTGGAAAATAAAGTTAAAAAAAAAAAGAATAGATATAAGATAGAGAAAACTTTGTCATGAAAAGGTCATAGAAGGAGCAAGTATGTATAAGGAAACCTACTTTTAGAAAATAAAGTAAGCTCTAAATTTTGGGTTAAAATGTCATTTTGTAAGCATTTTTTAAATTTAGGTTGATATTTCATAATAGGAAGTAAGGAACTGTTCTCTTTCCTGTTTTGTTTTTTGTAAGCTCTTTAAACATAGCTCATTTTACTTTAATATTTCATATGTTTAGTAAAAATCACTTTTCTAGTAGTTTAGTGCTGAAAGAAAAGCCTGAAAAAATTTTTTAGTAAGGATTTAAATACTGATCTGTTAATGTAATGGAAGAATTTTTTGAGAGAGGGTGAAATTTTGAGAAAGTGCTTAATAGTAGGGTTTTCTGTGCAGTTCTATTACACTGGTAATTCAAACCTTTGCACTCCAGTATTCTGTTAGGGTAGTGGAGATGCTTATTGTTATTAGCTACAATATAACTGACTCTTAATCCATTAGAGCAGTGGAGGTGGTCTTTGTTATGCTAGCTACAATGTACCACCCTATTGCTGACCACAGTCTTAATGACAACTCTGTGACTGTTGCAGGTGTAGTGATGGTTTGTGTTGTTCTACGTTACATGAAATACCGCTGGACTAAGGAGGAAGAGGAAACAAGGCAGATGTATGATATGGTGGTAAAGATTATAGGTACGGAATTTGTAAAATCCTGAACTATTTCTAGAACAGTTACCATGTGATAAAGCTACAACATAGTTGTCAGAAGTTGATTTACTTGTAAAGTTGTTGATTTATTTTCAGATGTTTTACGAAGTCATAATGAAGCTTGCCAGGAAAATAAAGATTTACAACCTTATATGCCTATTCCACATGTTCGAGATTCCTTAATACAACCCCATGACAGGTGTGTGCATTAGTGGACATTGAGATAAGTCACAGTGTAGGTACCTATGGGAGACTGGGATTTTAATGAGAATTGTGACCCCTCTTGACTATTGCTGCCTGACTGGACAGACTTTAAAATGCTTTCCCTCTCCTCTTAACACTTGTGCTCGCCTTCTGACTTCCAGTGTGTAATATGATAGCTGGGTTATTCTCATTCCTGCATATCTTTATTTCTTGTTTGTCAGTTTTCCTCTTTATCCCGTTATTTCTTGTTTTACCAAGAAGCAGAGACAGACAAAAGCTAGTTATATTTTTTGCAATATTTTACGTACTTATGTTATTACTGGAGATTTTAAAATGAAAGCTAAAATCTAACTTTTCAAAAATGGGGAAAAATCCATATTCTGAAAACTATGGATCTTTAGTAGCGTATCTTCATCACTCTGTAGATGGAAACTTGGTAAACTTGAGACGAGGCGAGGCACAGGCATCTAAGTCATCTTTTAGAGTACCTGTCAAGTGTGGTACTAGCTGGGATGGGGTGGAGTACAGAGACAGATGACCGACTAGCTAGTTAACAATAACTGTTACTTCAGTTGCTGACATTTCCAAAAGATGACAAGCCAAGATTAGAGTACATTTGTCATTTTGTTTGTGTGATAGGAAAAAGATGAAGAAAGTCTGGGATAGAGCCGTTGACTTCCTTGCTGCTAATGAATCTAGAGTGCGCACGGAAACACGAAGAATAGGAGGTGCAGATTTTCTGGTCTGGCGGTGGATCCAGCCTTCTGCATCCTGTGACAAGATATTAGTAATACCTTCTAAAGTATGGCAAGGCCAAGGTATGTATCTTCAAGCAAAACCAAAGATTTTCTCCCAATTTTTCAAAATATACATTATATGTTACCTGAAACACTAATTCAAAGGTATGTGAATCCAAATCTTCCTTTTATAGCCGCACCCTTAGAGTGAATAAATGTTAGAACAGATCTGGTGTGTCTGTACTGTCATGAAAACAGATATCCTTTTGGTCTTTCCCTTTTTGTTTAACAAAGCAACTTAGTATTATAGCTCTAATGGCATTCTTCTCATCAAACACATGAGTGATTGTTACAATCATTGTTAATATGTATTCATTATACATAAAATATATTTATATATATGTGAAAGCGTGACTTTAACATTCTGTTTTCCAAGTTTTGCTTGCCTTCCTCCTGTTTCTCACGAAGGTCCCTTGCTGAGTATGTCACCTTCCAGGAATCATGTCTAGTTCTGTCTTTGCCTGGTTTTCTTAATAGTGTGTGTAGTTTCAGAAGAGAAAGAGAGTAAATATATAAGGAGTTTATAAGCCTACATAGGAGAAGCATGTATGTAAAACAGTATATAAGGGAATTATAATAGTAAATCTTTCCTACCAAATCATGTTTATTAGTATTTGGAAATAGTATTCCTAGAAAAGATAAATGAAGTGTTTTAAAATTGCATTTCTAAGAGTACAATCCTGTCATTTCCCCCCTCTAGTCAATTTTACTTTAAAAAGCTTTAATAGTCTTAATCATGGAGTTAGGTGGTTAGTGGGTAGAGATGATCTGGGTGGAGTTGAGGGAGTGAAAACCACATATAATCAGAATATATCATGTGAGAAAAAAAATGCTAAGAACAAAATTATTTCCTTGCAAAGTTGTGTTGAGAAAGACTGTGTGACACTAGAACAATTTTAAATTATTTCACGTGACTCTTACCTGTGTCTGGCTGATGAGTCCTTCAGCAAGCATTCACTGTTAGCTTTGGCAATAGCACCTTTTCCCTGGCTCTCTCTTGCCCTGATCTTTTCTTCCAATCGTATGACTGTGTCCCATGCTCCTCCTCTTCCTAATTCTAGATTTTCCTCTTTTTGCAGTTTCTCAAAGCTGTCTTCTCATTTTTACTTTTTTAACTCATCTTTTCTCATATGGTGGCTTCATTTCATTTACATATGATAATTCTGTTTGTACCATGTGGAAAACTCCTCTTCTAGACAATAGACACTACAGATAGACATGAGTGTGAGCTCACTGTCTCTTCCCAAAGTCACTTTTCTGGTATCTTAGTCTAGACAGTAGTACCGCTTCTCTCTTGGCTCCTGCATTTACCTGGAAGTCATCCTCAGACTGTGCTTTATTTCTGATTGATTGCTCCTTGAACAGATCCCTCCAGATGCACTCCTGTCCACAGACCTCACTTTTCCACATCAATGCCTCTTGGACAGCAGATAGCCTCTGGCTGTGTTAAAGTCACTTTGCCTAATTGATTTTCCACACAATTACTTCACTTTTGTTAATATTTAAAGATGGATCTTGTCATATGATTCCTCTTAAAACACTTGGGTGACTATGGCATTGTTGGAATACTTTCATATGGCCAACAGAGTCTTGAACAGCTGACTTCACCTTTGCCGGCCTCTCCTTTTGTTCTTTTCCAGCCACACTGGTTTTCAGTCTCTTGAGTATGCCATTTCCTTCTCATCACAGGGCTGTGTACACTTCACCTGTCCCTCATCTCCCTGCTGCTTTAATTCAGTTCTCAGAGTCTGCTTCACTTCCTCAGGGAACTCTTACCTCGCTTCAACAAGGACTTACCACAGCTCTAATCCCCTGGAAGAGACTGTCACTTGTTTGTTTTGCCACCAAACTATTGGCTTTGGATAATGATGACTGTCTTAATCCACCTTAATTAACTGGCTCATTAAAAGCACAAAATAAGTATTTTTTAATGAACTAAAAATTTGTTTTTCAACAAAATGGAGCAATTTCAAGTAACAAAATTCATTTTTCCTTGTAGCATTTCATTTAGATAGAAGAAATTCACCACCAAATAGTTTGACACCATGTTTAAAGATTCGAAATATGTTTGATCCAGTCATGTAAGTATTATAAACAGGCACACACAAAATTTTTATTTGGGGTATTCGAGTATGGTATTTCTATTATGCTGTGTCTAATTGGAAATTTTAAAATTATTGCTAACTATAAATGTGCTTTTCTCCTTTGGTTAAATTCCAAACAAAGGCATCTCCTGCATGCTTTAGCAATCAGGAAGTTAGACCCAGTCCAGTGTTTGGTTGCATTAAGCAGACTGAAAGTGAAGTTGTTTTCCTTTTGCCCTCCCGTCTATGACTCACCCACAGCAAGAGAGATAAGCATGAGTACTATAACAGGTGCCTTGAAGTGCTTGCTGAGGTGCGATGACCATGCACTCTGTTTGACCTGGGACCTTTTATTTTGGAAAAGAAGCTTGGAATGTAGTGTTTATATTAAATAAAATAACAAAAAGGAAACAGTGTTCTACTCTTGCAGCTTTAATGCTAATACTAATCTGGAAAAAGAAATGAAACAATGTGCAAGTATACCAATACACAGAATGGCTGAGTTTGTTTGTGGTGTGATAGTGAATACAGAGTAGAAATAGCGTGGTTGATTTTGTTTTTCTTAATTTCAGGGAAATAGGAGATCAATGGCATTTGGCAATTCAAGAAGCAATTTTAGAAAAATGCAGCGATAATGATGGCATCGTTCATATTGCAGTAGACAAAAACTCACGTGAGGTAAAAGCATGTCTAATATTGAACACAGTATTTTGTATCTGTGGCTGCTAAATTAAGACTATTCTTTTCTCTCTCCTTTCTTCTATAGGGTTGTGTGTATGTTAAATGTCTGTCTCCGGAATATGCTGGAAAGGCTTTTAAAGCATTGCATGGCTCTTGGTTTGATGGTAAGAATTTGAGTAGTACAAAGATTTGGAAAGGAAAATTAGTTCCATTTTACATTATGTCTGATTTTAAATGGAATAGTTTTAGGGTAGCACTTTTTGAATAATAATTTTAGATGCGTTTGTTTTGTGTTTAGTCTTTACTATAGTTAATTTTCTGCAAATACTAAACAATTTTATAGATCTAAAATACTATTTTTATCTTACAACAGGGAAGTTGGTTACAGTAAAATACTTACGACTAGATAGATACCACCATCGCTTTCCCCAAGCTCTTACTTGCAACACTCCCTTGAAGCCATCAAATAAACATATGAACTCTATGTCGCACCTGCGCCTTCGGACTGGCCTAGCCAATTCTCAAGGAAGTTCCTGAAGAGATCCCTTCACTCCTAGGACTTTATTTAAATAGGAAAAGTTCCCGTTTGGCTTCCCGTCTTCCTTTTAAAATGATTTTTGTATGTAATATTTTTATTGCTGAGGACAGCTGTTTGAAGGTTGCAAAGGGATTTAGCAGTGCAGCAGCAATGCTGAGTAGGCAGAATTACTGGTTTCTTCAGGCTATGGAGCTCAGTTGAGCCAATGCATTTTAAGTTGTGCACGAGGAGCACTGACTTTATATGAAGCGTTTCAGAGATGGTGGTTATATTTTTGCACTAAGAAGTGATTAGATAACCACACAAAAGCATGGCGAAGCAGCCTTTTTATATTTCCATAATTTCTTGTGAACGAATGTGAATTTTTGTATACAGTCCGCTGCGTAGTTCCTTACAAGCTACTGTGGTAAAACTGTTCATTTCCCACTTCAATCTTAGGTTTCTGTTGCTTGTAAAAGGTTCATTTACTGCAGCTGGAATATGGGGAAATTTATTTGGTTTTAATGGTTGCATACATGTGTAAGTGGATGTACATGTACTTAAATTGACTTTTGTACATATGTATAAATGCTGATGGTAGTGAAAGTCTTGTTTTGTGAGAATGTCTGCATTAGCAGTACAATAAGCTTTATTTTATTCATAATCTAATTTGTGTATATATGTATGTGCATAGCTGTGTGTTTATGTACATATGTAATTGTACATATGTACATAAATACACAGATAAATACATATGGCTGTACTGTCATAGATGATCAAACAGCCAAATACCTGGAAGTATTAGATACATTGTTTAAAATACCTTTTATAGATTTTATATAAAAATGCCTGAGTATGATTTTGTGTAAAAGTTCTGGCACCAGTTGTAATGAGTTCAAATTTATGTGAGCAATAAAGAAGCAATTGGCAGATACTGGAAAAATATTTTGTGAAAAGCTGTATTTATCATAAATACTGGGGCTATAGCAGTGCTATTGGGAGTATGTCATTTTTCCAGTCTGTTTATAGCTCCTGTTCTATGTTCAGTGTAGAGCAGGCATGTTGTTGCAGCAAAATGTATTAGACAAATTATCCTTGGAATGTTGGGCCACGAAAGTTTGCAATGTAGAAAATGCACAAATAAATGACCATTGGTTTGTGTTTTAGTGTTTGTTCAGTAAAGCTACTTTATTATTGCTTATGATTTCACATCAGAATAGTTACTGATCAAGGTTTATTTGTAACCTAAAAATTGGCTTTTTGAAAAATAATCTTCTGGATATATCATTGTTGGTCCAAATGAATATGTGGCACAGCTGGATTACCAATTGCAATACTTGTTTAAGTTCAGCTTTCTTTTTGTTGTATATGTGTTGGGTTTGCAGCATGAACTTGCACAGATATGCACGTTTTCTGCTTAGTAAACATGATGCACACTATTCTGTAAGAAAACCCTTTGTGCCTTACCTGTGTGCTTCTGTGGGCACCATGTTTATGAAGAATAAATGTCTGTTATCAGAAGAGAGTGAATGTTAAATTCTCAATTTATGTCTCAGATGCTAACGTGTTAAAAGTATAAATATATAATATATAAAGTAACCAGTCTTTCTGTATTTTATGTGCATCATAGTGATTTATTTGAGCTTAGTGACCCTATCTTGTAACCTGTTGCAAGAGTGAATGTAAAAAAATAGTTGTGGCATTTTAACAGGTCACCTTTGGATGCAGATGCATCTTTTTTTTTGCTTTTAAGATGTATTTCATGTATACATTGTACATTTATTATTGTAATATATACTATTATGTAGCTTATTTTACCTGGAACTCTTTAAGCTGACCAAGAGTCCTCCCTAGAAGACAGATGGGAATGTGTATAATAATTAGGTATTATTTGAAAAGTTCTGGTTTGATGTAATCTGTTTTGTTTTGTTTTTTTGTTCTGTTTAAAAAAGAAGGAAAACATTCTAATTAAAAATTTATTAGGTTTTTTAAAAATGCGTGTTTGTTTTAAAGAAACTTATAAAGTGTCTCGTGTCTTTCCTTTTGCCAGTGAAAGTGGGTGTCTTTATTTTAAATCTTTTATCTGAGGCTCTATGGATGGCTCTGTGTTTATAAGGATGAGGACCATAAAGTTAGTTTCTTGTGTGTTGCTTTTAGTTTCACTCTGTCCTATGCTGGCCTGCAGCTCACTACGTAGTATAGGCTGGCCACCGACTCAGGAGTCCTCCCGCCTCAGCCTGTGGCCTGGCCTGACTTGGGAGTCGTACTTACCCTTTCAAGTCCTAAGATTGCAGGGCTGAGTCACCACTCATATTTTTCAGCATTTTAGAACAATTAGCATATGTTAGTTATACATAGTAATGTGCTTTTTTATATTTGTATGCGTGTATATCATGTATATTCATCCCCCATTACCTTCTCCTTTTCCTGTTCTCACTAATCTCCATCTTCTAACTTTGCTTTTCTTTATGAAAATGTCCTCGTTTAACCCTCAAATGTTTGGATCAAATGGTGACAAAAATGTAAATCAGCTGGGTCACTAAGCACTTTAGTTCAACTAGTTTCCTCGGCAAAGAACAGTTTATGCATTGTGACTGAAAGCCTTAGCCCATTATAAAGCAGTCACGATCAGTCCTTTAGATTTACCTCATTAGTCACACGGTAGACTTATGGCTTGTTAATGTAGTTGACACTGGTTGTCTCTGTTAGGAATACAGAGATGGAAAGCACAGGCTAATAACTAAAGATGGTCACATCTGGAGGAGGAATATAGTAAGTTACAAGAATGTGGATAACATGGAAGGAAAATAGACAGGATTCTGAGATACAGAGGAACTTGGATGCATCTTAGTAGCTCAGATACAGAACAGGGGAGGTATGGGATAAGGCACCCACTGGGTCTAGATCATAAGAGCCCGTGTGTGGAGCCATGTGATAAGGCCCTTTTTCATCATACTCACTGCTGTGTGCATTCTTGAATGTGTTATACATATCAGAGCCTCATATTGGGCTTTTGGAGTTTACAGTTTGCATAACACGTTTCTAAGTGAGCAGTGTTTAGACATTCTGTGTGCCAAACATCTTTAATAAGATTTACTCCAGAAACCATTTCCTGCTTTTCATATCATGAAATCATAGGTCATCTACATGACTTCTTTACCCTTACCCTTTTCTCCTAGGCCTGTCTCGGCAAATCACCTTCTCCATGTGGCTTATCAGAGCGCACCAACCCAGGCAGAATGTAGGCAGTCATTGTCACATGCTTGGGAGCTGAGAATCATTAGGAACTGGGACTTGTGTCATAAAGAAACTGATACCCTGGGTGCTCATCTTTTGTTCCCAATCCCTGTTAAGGAAACCCAGCAGACAACATAATAGACACATTTTGTTGATGTTTAGATTTAAAAGCCAATAGAACCCGTGTGTTTAGATTTACTTTTTCTCCTTAGACATCAAAGAACTGCACGCACTCCTGAATTTGGAAGGGGGAATTTAGGCATAGAGAACACTGTAACAGGGCTGGAGAGATGGCTCAGCTGTTAAAGGCTAGGCTCACAACCAAAATTGGAAAACACACCTACAGAGTTGTATGAAACTACAAAGCTGCTGTACAAGCAAAAATGGAATGGAAAGGAAACATACAACTCAGAATACCTGTAAATAATTGTTGTTTTGATTTTATGTACCATAGGGTGAAGAGGCCAGTGTCCCACCATCACCTGCAAGAGCATGACCTCAATAGAAGGACCTCCCAGTAAGTCCCGCCTCCCAAAGGTTCGTTCCACTGGCTCCCAGTACTTCTGATTATCATGTCAGCAGTAAAGTGTGATTTTATTCATCTCATGATGTTTTCTAATTTGGGTTTGTCAGTTTGAAGTTCAGTTTCTAGTTTGTTGTTTGCTTTTATCAGGAATCTTTGGATGTTACCATTTTTTAAAAATCTACTATGATAATGCCATTTTTGTCTTTTAGTCTATTAAAATGGGGCTGATTTTCAAATGCTAAGACAGTCTTGCGCTGTATGATAAATCTCATGTGCTGGTCATGATTTGCAAACCTTTTTATATGTTTCTGGGTTTGGTCTGATAGTTTTGTTGAGGATTTCTGCTTCTGCATTCATAACAGACTACAATTTTCTTGTGAGGTCTTGTCTGGTTTTAGTAGGTTAAGACTAAACCTAGAATGACTTAATAAATGCTCTTCACCTTTTGAAACAGAAACTGATGTGGTCATCTAAAAGTTTGGTACTGTTTACCAGAAAAGGCTTCGGGGTCAGGGCATTTGTGGGTCGTTTATTATTAATTACTATTAGAATTATTTATTATTAATACTAAATCATTTTTTCTTATTTGCCAAATCTACTCACATTTCTTCTTAATCAAATTCAGTAATTTGTCTCCTACTAGAAATTTCCCATGCCATCTATCATCTAATTGGTGTATTAATGTCCACACCATTCCCTTATAGCCCTGCTTCTGGAATGACTCCCTAACACATAATTTACATAATTTTCATAAATTGAGTCTTTGATTTCTTTCCCTTGTCATTGTAACTTGTTGATGATTTCAAAATCCATAATTTTTTGTTTTATTTTACTTATTTTTCTATTTTCTGTATCATTAAATTCTGTCCTAGTCGGTTGTTCTGCTTACTGTAGGTCTTGTTTATCCATGTCTTAAGGCATGGTATTTAGATACTGCTCTGAAATCTTAGCATTATGCATTTCTTTGCAAGCATTGTTTTAGTTGCCTTCCATGAGTTTTGGCATATTGTAGCTCCTTTTTCATCTTAAAGTGTTTCGGTTTCCCTTGAAATTTCTTCTTGACCCCGTTGCTTGCTTAGAAGTGTATTTCATGCCTGCAGGCTGGTGATCTCTCCAGATTCCATAGTAGTTGATTATGGCTGATTTAAGCCATGTATTTTAGGGACATACTTTGTATTGTCTCGGCCTTTTCCTATGTACTGAAGCTTGTTTTGTGCCACAGCACATGGCCTTTTTTGGAAAGTAGTCCCTGTAGACATGAGAAGAATGTGTCTGTTGCTGCTGCAGCCTCCAGGTCACTAAAGATCTACAGACACCTTTCGGCCGCCATTGGCTCTCCACTGATCGTGTCACTGGGTTATCCTTTTGCTTTTTATCCTGGCTTCAAGGTTTCCTTTATGATCAGTTTATGTAAAAAGTTATTATTTAAGTTTTATGAGCGATTTATTCAAGCTATCATTGTGTCTCCGGAAATAAGTTGTTAAACTGTTCCTTTTTGTCCCCATAGTTACAACTCATCCTCAGTCTTTGAAGAAATGGCATACTGTTCTTGGTGTCAGTGCCCATGTATTCAGTGGGAGCATTCTAGCTTAGATAGTGATTTGATCAAGATACGCATCCTGGGAATAAACCTAAAAAGAAAGGTGAAAGACCCATGTGAGAAACTTCTCCAAGAGAACTCGAGGAAAACAAAAAGATTGTCCTTATTAATAGAGTGAATATAACGAGTGAGCTAATTCTTCCTTTCTGTGGGTTAGTACAAGTCTAGTAAAGCGCCTGTAGGCATAGATCCATGTGTAGTGATTTTAATTGAAATCCTAGAATATCAACGGGAAGACTGAAGTAGGCAGGCAGTATTAATGAAAATATGATTAATAAAAGTAGGCTGGCTCTACTAGAATGCAGCTAATTAAATATGTTAAATTGTTAGCAGATAAAGGGAGAGAATAAATGCCTTCATTGAAGTAGATCCTCATATTGGCTTCACTGACACTCAAAATCACTTAAATTCACCTTAATTAGGGACCAGATTTTCATAACAGTTTTCACTAGAGGTTAACTTGAAGTACTTTATTAAAGTTACTAACGTTTTATATGTAGCAAGTTAGATTATAATTATACTAACTTCCAGAATTTCTTCATATTTTTTTCTGACAAAAGTATTTTAGGAGCATATGATGGTGATTTCCAAGTGTTTGGTTTCTTCTCCAAAGTTGGAATCATTTTTGAAGAGTTGCCGCAGACCGTTTTTGTGCCAGGCTGTCTCTAGGCCCGCCTTCGTGTTGTACAGCGTCAGCCTCTGTCCTGTCACTCACATAGTCTCTGGCCATGCTTGGGATTTGAGCAGTTTTCTGTCGTTCTCGTTGACTTCCTGAGAGCCTAAACATTTTGAGAGTCTTGGAAGTACTTTTTTTTTTTTTTTTTTTTTTTTTTTTTGGTTTTTCTAGACAGGGTTTCTCTGTATTGTTTTGGAGGCTGTCCTGGAACTCGCTCTGTAGATCAGGCTGGCCTCGAACTCACAGAGATCCGCCTGCCTCTGCCTCTCGAGTGCTGGGATTAAAGGTGTGCACCACCAACGCCGGTCCTCGGAAGTCCATCTTAGAGGGTGTTTTCATTACATTCATATTGTTGAATGACAGTTTGCAAGACGCTGGAAAGCACATTTTAACACTGGGCAGGAATAGATGTGGCTCCTGTGAAGCAGCAAATGCCCAGTGAGACAGTGACTTTCTGGAAAGGAGTTTTGTTAAGGGTGTGTAGTGTAATAACCAAGTAACTGAGGTAATATAGTTAACAAACATGTGACTTTTAAAGACATTCTGGTACATAAGAATTCAACATATGCGGGGGGGCTGGAGAGCTGGCTCAGCGCTTAAGAGCACTGACTGCTGTTCCAGAGGACTGAAGTTCAATTCCTAGAATTCCTAGCACCCACATGGCAGCTCACAAGTGTGTGTAACTCCAGTACCAGGGGACCTGACACACGTCAAAACACCAAAGTACATTTAAAAAATTAAAAAGTAATTTTTAAAAAATTCAATATATGATGGTGTCATAAAACTACTGAGAAAAGTGAGCTTTTCTCTTTAAACTTTTTACTTAACAACAAAAAACAAAAAAGCAAGGCCTTCATGTTAGAGCCGTGGTATTATTAATATCAGGGTCCGTGTCTCTTGATATTATCTCTGTAGAAGTGGTTCAGACCCTCCAGTTTGTTGTAACTTAGACGATC